GTAACGAATAAAATAGGCTGTAACAAGTGTTAGCAAAAGGTTTAAAGCATACAAAGAAACGGTGCATGTGAAATATAAAACATTTATGTCTTAAACTTCTCTGAATGCTTAAGATGACCTTTAAATAACGCTTGCAGAAGTCAGTGTATGTCTGTCCTAAATTCTACAGTAGGTTACACCACTGCTTTTCCTATGTTGTTCAGAGTGACTGAGCTTCTGGATTTCCAGGGATGCTAGTTGAGATGTCAGTTGTTGGTAGCTGCAAGCCTGGCTGATATACTTTAATGTTTTCTGAGTGATCGTGTTTGTTTGTTCTAGTCCACGTTTTTCCATTCTTGCTAATATTTTCAACAACACTTTATTATTTTAGCTCTTTTGTTTCCTTTAGTAAGAGTAAATGACACCCCTTAAAGTTCTATATTTGCTGTTTACTAAGGAACTTGGATTGAGATCTTTTCAAAATTATTCTGGCTTTACCAAGAAGATTTGTTTGTGTAATATGATAACAGGTAGCAACCTTATTGTTCATTTTCCCCAAATACGTCATTTTTGCCTCTAGACTAGTGTGTTATAGAGATAAGAATTTAAAATGTTTCCAGAGGAAAAAAAAATCTTTTACTATCTTTTACTATTATTTAAGTAATATAAGATGTAATATGTTTTTCCATGTTTCTCTTGGATTCCCTGAATGTTCAGTTGTCAGCACAAAGAAAATTCACATCCGGCTCATAGATTGTCATGTAACACTTAAGATGGTCAGTGTATTTCACCCTGACATTCTAGTAACTCTCATGAATGCTTTAATGTATGAACATGATCTACAAAAAGAAATGAGCAATAGGTGGATTTTTGATAGGAAGTAAATCAGCTGAATTCAGATTTAAAAAATGAGCACAGTTCTGGATAGCAGTGGTATGTTAAGCATGCTCTGTATGTCAGTTACAATTCTAAGCTCTGAAAAAGATTATTGAGTAACGTTTCTGTAGTCAACAAGTTCACTTTGAGTAGTATAACTCTGCAATCACTGTAGAAAATTACTCAAAAAAGTAAAGAATAGGATCTGTTGAGTATGGGTTTATCCCAGTTTTAGCTTGCGCTTGCCATCTTTGAAAGGATTGCCAGAACTATTCTTAACTCTTTACACTCTTAATTCTTTACACTCTTAACTTTGAATCTTGAGTTGTATTTTATTTGGAAGTACTGTCTTCTGGATTGTGTTTTTTCTTGTTGCTGATGATGAACTCGTGATAGTTCCTGGGTCAGATTTAAAAGGTTGCTTGGAAAGGGTCATACCAAAATCATTAATGCTTTTCCTTTGCAATCAATTTTAGCAAGTTTACACAGCAACAACTGCAGCAACAGACAACTACAGCAGCAGTTAGCAGTTCAGATACTATGCATGTAAGTATTTCCATCTGCTGTTGTTGCAGGATACACTGTACACATGTTCCACCAATCTGTTGAGGCTGGCATCAAATGGCCTTTAAAATTTGTCCTGTTCTCATTTTTTTTCAGTGCAATGCACACTTTGTGTTGAATCCAAGGTAGTTATTTATGATTCTGCCATCCAAAGGCAGAGAAGGTGTGCACTGAAGAGAAGATTCTGTTTTATTTATCGTGGTTGTTAAAATTCCTCTCTCCCTTTTTATTTTATTTTTTTATTTTTTTTTATTTGATAAACTGAAAACCATCAAAGATGGGTGCTTCTACGTTAGAGTACCATTTTTACAGAGAAACACCTTCCAGAATGGCAAGTCTCATTTAGGCTCTCCTAGACCTTTCTTGCCTTTCTGTGTTTAGAGGCAGAGGCGTTATAAATCCCCATCTATATATTTCTATTTAGACCTGGTATACTTAAAAGAGTAATATGATATACTTAAAAGAGTAATATTAAATCACTTACGTATCAGCCAAATGTTGTCTCTCTTGATCTCCCAGCTCCCTTCCTCACTTGAATCATCAATCAAAGGAAACACATGTAGTCCTTTGGCTGTGCTGCCACCATAACCATGGGCTGGCAGATGCCTTTAGAACTGAGGGTAGAGTTATTCTACTAGCAGCTGCTAACTCTTCTGAAGCCAAACTTATATGATCCTTTCACTGACTTCCTGTTTTGTTGACAGTTAGCTGGTTATTCCCTTTTCCAACTTTATTCAAATCTCATAATTGTTGATGTTGTCCTTTTGTGGTGGCATTTCAATTTCTTCAGACTTCTTGCTGTGTTTTTAAATACATACATACATACATACATATATATGTGTGTATATATATAACTGGATAACACAGCTTTTTTATTATAATTTATCTTATTCTTTTTTTAATGGACATAGTTATGAATGAAGGGCAGCTTAATGGAGAGAGCAGGCTAATGTGAATCAAAACTGTGACTGCTGAAGTCAATGATATATACAGATGTAAGGGATCTAAAAATAAGATCAAAGACTGCTTTGGATATCATTTCATACACTACATATGTGAATTTGAATGTAAATACCAAGAGAATAAATAGATATGCCTTTTTGCCTTC